TCAGATGAAGACTACCTGTACTTTTAACACATTATATGATATATTAGGCTTCAGGCTTTGATCCATCAGCTACCATCTTTTAATGACTCCAGCCTCTACAGTTCAATGCCAGTCAGAGTCAGAGAATAATTACAAAGAGCAACCGTGGATTGGGTTTCTTAAGAAAGAAGAAAACTGTCATTAAATATCCTGGTGAACCAAATTGAAAAGAAGGTTACCTTTGGGGTGGGGGGAAGTGAGATTCAAGATTATCTTGATACTGAGAATTGGGCAAAATTTGCAAAACAAATTTCACAGAGATAATTCAGGTCTAGATTGATCTAGGAAAAATCAATGTGCAAATACAAGATGACTTGACAGCGGTGTATACAAATCTGACCCAAAGGTTTTAAGAACTAAATATGAATTAATGGCTGATCCAGCAGCTAAAAAGACTAAAGTATCCTAGGCTACATCAAGTAGTATGGTGTTGAGAAGCTGTTACACTACTCAGCTTTAGGTATTTGCTCAGCTGGAGTATTGTGTCTAGTTCTAGCATAATACAACATATTCGTCTAGGGGAGAGTTACAAATATGTGAAAGCCTGATGCTCTAATATAATCAAGAAAGCTTTAGAAGAGCTTTCTTGAAAGAGCTTGGAGGAGAGATGATTAAGAGATGAAATAAGCACTACTTTAAAATATTTGAAAGGCTTCTGCATAGAGAATAAATTTGTGTTGATTTTTTTTGTAATCTAAAAGGAAGAAAAATCTCAGTTGAAAGATTCAAATTACAGTAAAAAGAATTGGAACCAAGAATTTTCTGATGGTACACATTTTTTTAAATAGAGGAATACAATGTTCTGGAAGGTGGTGGATTTCCCCTCATTAACTGTTTTTAAGTAGAGGTTGTATAGCTTACCTACTGAATACAGTAAGAGTGGATTTCCTACTTCAGCCGAGAGTGGGAATAGATTATCCTTCCAATACTGCATCCCTGATGGAGAAGATGAATTGGAGAGATTTGTAATATACTTCAGAATAGCTAAGAACCTTTTTTTAAAAAACTAGGAAATTAAGAAGCCCAATTATCATTTCTGTTTATTGGACCAGCTTCTCCATCTCTTCAAATAGTGACTGGCAATGAATAACATTTATCAATTTCTCTTTATACTGTAGCAGCTGTGCTGCATTATTTATCTTAAGGGATCTTTTGTTCAGTACTGGCTTTCGTATTAATAACAGCTCTTCTTTTCCTTCTCCTTAGGTTTGTATGTGTCTGTTTCCTGCTGTGATATGTGCCTTTGTTGTGAGAATACAATAGCATTTAATATGAACTTCTCTCCCCCCACTCTTTAAGAATCAACTTTGATTTAATAAGGTTGGGTCTAAAGCACTGAACCACTAAACTGAGTATCTGACGGCCTAAAACCAATTCTCAAAAACAGAAGCATATTAATGATGTTTGATGCTGCTATAAACCAAGTAAAGATAAGATTGAAGACAGTAGAGATTATCTGGAAAAAGTAACAGATAACCACCAGTTCACTTTGAATGAACTAGTGTAATAATTAACATTTTAGTCTCTGTATGGATACAGAGGCAATTTTCCATCACACTGCAACCATAATTTAATACAAGAATAATTTAGGCATTGCACCTCGGATATTGTTAAATTGCCACTCCCAATAGCCTCTGTTGGCCTAGTGAAGTATGTTAGAAAATGTAGGCTATTAACATCTGAAGGAAGCTAAATCGAGCAACTAGATCTATCGGCTGCGGTAAATAGATGAGCAACATTTCTTATTGACTAGCTGAGATTTTGAATAGGCACATTGGAACTCTGCAGTATAAAAAAAGGTTAGATGATACTTTATAAAAGTTGTATCATAGTTCGTCGCACTGATTTAACACAAAGAGGAAGATCCATTACATATGATTACTCTGCATGTGTACTATTGTGTGCTCTATTTGGGGCTACCCTTGAAGACCATTCAGAAATGTCAACTGATCCAGAATTCAGGGGCACAAGAAATTATGGGCATGCTGTGGTATGTCTGCAAAATATTTCTGCTTTGTAAACTGCCCAATTACCAGTAGGTTTCCAGGTACAATTCAAAGTGCTGGTTAGGGTCCTTGACATAGGGCCTTGTTATCTGAATAACGGCCTATCTTCGGTAGTTTCTTCCCTAAGTTTTCAGTTTATATTTTGCCCAGAATTATTGAGAAATTGGGTGACTTTAGAAATGTGAAACTCTCTCACACACATATCCTTCCACTCTTCATTTCAGTTTGGTTTTCTTTAGATGTTCTCATTGTAACTACCTAGAGTCAATATCAGAATGTGCCAGTCAGCTCAGTGATATGGAAGACAGCTGGATTCAACTAATTCAGAATTGTTTTATCTCCCAGTTGACTAGAATGGGTAATCCACACAATGTTCCACTGTTTTCTATGGACTTCAAGAGTAATTCTTCAAAGACTTTGGTTATGATCAGTTTGGAAAGAATCCTGCTTTATTATCCTAAAGATGGTCAATTTAAGCTATCGTAAATGTCTCTGATACTTTTTCTGCATTACAGATATTTTGTTTGGATTCCTCTCTGTCAGGATGGGGAAATATAAAATTCAAAGTGTTTTGCAGAAAAAAACATAATTGCATATTTTTGTATTACTAACATGATTTTTAAGAACTTGATAGCTTCCTACTTACAATATATTCCTGTATGCTAAGGATGTCCAAGAGTGTTTATTACCCGGTAATAAATTTTTGTTAGCAACCTGAAATTTAGACTTTGAAATTATAAGATTAAAAAGACATTGATATTTTCTTTTCTCTTAATTAGCATTCTGGTGTCTCATATTTGAACATATGTAACTTTTAATTTATTATTTCTTTAAAAAAAAACACCTAGCATTCTTTGTATCCTGCCAGTAGCCAAGAGGCTAGTGGGAGCAATTTGTGATTTGTTCAAGCTAGACATCATCACCCCTGTTGTTCAGATTGAAATCTTGCTAGTTTGGGATTGGGCAGAGGGGGATGGGGGGCAGGGAAGGAAGTTTTTCTCTGTTGGAAGCTTGCTTACTTACTTACACTTTTTCATGATTGGGGCCGCCTTTCCCCTCCCTTTCCCTTCTAAGAGGAGATGAGTTTGATGAGGTGCCTTTCTATTTCTGAGGCAGAAGGCAGGCCTTGACCAGCTGGTATCTTGAACTGACACAGGTGCAAAGACTGCAGGGGGTGGGATCCAAGAATAATTGCATGTTTCTCAAAGCATCGGGCCTTGCCCAAAAGGGGGCTTGCGGAAATGGTTCTTTATGGAAAATTAATGACAAGGCTTAAAGCCTGTCAGGATCACTGTGGTCATCAGAGAAGGAGTAATGCCTTACAGGGACAGCTCCCTCCTGTCTTCTCCACAGGATATTAGCTGACCCAACACAGCCTTGTATCATCTGGAGATTTCACAAGGCCTGTGCTGGTTTTAGTGTTCTTTGAAAATCTTTTTTCCATCTAACTCTTGCTAACCATGGGCTTTGTATTTAGAGTGTAAGCCTCACAGTTTCTCTTCTAAGGAGCCTAAATCAAGATACAGAGTGATTGTTATTTCTATTGTGACAAGGAGAAATTCTGTGAAAGTATTCTTAAGCTTGGAGAAAACAATAACATTATGCTTATTATTTATTCACTGGCTGTTTAGGAGATGACAAATCCTATGATTTGACTGAATTTTCTATTATATATAAAATTTGGTTTACTAAATATGTGTGAAAGACTAATCTATGTAAATGGATAGTTACAAGGTTTTAAATCTCCTACTTGCCTGCGCTAATCTTAACATTTGCAGTCCTTTAGCCAGCACCTCAAATATCACTGCATTTCATTGTCTCCTGATTTTATCCATTTGAAAGAATTGCAAGCAGCCTATATTTCTCAGTGATATAGTTGCATAGATGATCTATGGTATGTGTGAGAAAATCAACAATACTGTTCTTTGGTACATTTGGAAGTCTTTCCATTTTATTTTTGCCTGCAACACACATGACTAGTTATGTAAAAGGTTTTTTTAATCTTCTACTTTGGTATGAAACTTTATATATTCTGTCTGTCTGTCTGTCTGTCTAAAAGCTAGATTGATTGTTGATGATTTAGCAAGTGGGACTTTTTGTTTGCAATGTCATATTCATGCAGAAGTATTTGAGTCATTTGTTTAAATGCAGTTCATTTCATGTATATGTTAAGTCATTGCTGTATCATTTTCCTTGTGTATAGAAGATAAACTCAGGAGGACAACTTTGGGAAGAGAAGAGGAAATGAGTGAATTACATCCTATTGTAAACTTTTACATTGCCCTGGATTTAAATGGCTGATACAAGGTCATTGAATTACATGTCATGTTTTGTATGTATAGACTCAATCATAAATTAATTCCTTAGAGGTCTAGGAACAGATTTTATCAGTGCCATGGTCATGTTTCAGTTTTGCGTTGTAGTCTGAATTAATCTGTAAAGAAAGTGTAGAAATTTTATTATATATTTGTTTCTCAGTTTATATTTATTGATTCATTTGAAATATCTATAACATTTCTGTCTAGTATGAATACCCAAAGTAGTTAACAAAATAGAGTTGAGAATTTCTTCAGAACTGGTCAAGTAGTGCTTGTGCAACATTTGTGAATCACTTGATTTGCAAGTGATTGTTCTTATAGTTGCTAGGCAACTAGCAACCTGTGCTTTCAGTTGTTTTCTTTTTTTGCAATTTGAGTATTTTTGCATAATAGATTTGTACCTGGATTTCTAGATTCTACACACCAGAGCTGAATAGCCATTGTATTCTTATTCTATGGAATAATTCATTTTTGCAGACACTTTCTTCCTCTTTTGTCTTATGGCTTCTTTGATTTGCTTTTCTATTATCTCCGACTGTGGCAGCTTGCTATATTCAGATACTCTTTTCTTCTTGGCAGTGGTTGCAATTGGGTTTGACTGTCCAATGATGGCTTCTTTCTCCTTTTGTTTCTACAGACATGCCTTGAGCTGGAACGCTACCTTCAGACAGAGCCCAGGAAGAACTCAGAAAGTTTTGTGGAGGACCTGGACTGTTTTCTTCATGCTTCTGCTCAAGGCACAGAAGATAGCATTCAGCCATTGGACCCACTCTTATTACCTGTAGATATGAGTACCTGTGACAAAAATGCCAACATGGACATTATTCTCTCAAGGGACAAACTATTGTCTGAGACTTGTCTCAGCCTGCAACCTACCAGCTCCTCTACAGAGGGCTATGCTGCTGTTAACCAGGCCCAACTCAACGCAGTGACCTCACTAACACCTCCTTCCTCTCCTGAACTCAGTCGCCATCTTGGAAAAACCTCACAAACTATCTCTGCAGTTGATGGCACAGTTACACTGAAATTAGTGACAAAGAAATCCACCCTCAGCTCAGTAAAGGTTGGTGTAATAGCACCAGCTAACACAACAAAGTGTGCACTCAGTGACAGTGAACAAGGAGGGTTAGGGGCTGACACATCCCCGGAAAACAAGAAGAGGGTTCATCGTTGTCAGTTTAATGGGTGCCGTAAAGTATATACAAAGAGCTCACACTTAAAAGCGCACCAGAGGACTCACACAGGTACTTGTGTTAGATGCTTGGCTGTCTTTAACCAAATTTATGCCTTTTATTTAATATTTGTCTTGTTCAGAAATGAAGCTTTAGAGGATAAGAGTTACAGGCGTGGTATAAAAAGTTGGGTTGGAACATTGTGTTCCATATTATGTCAAGGAGTTTGAGAATTCGCTATTGCAGAATGAAAATGCTAATCATATGGCTCTATAATTCCTATATTAGTAACATTTTTCTCAGAATTTTGCAGATTACTGAGAATACAATTAATCATACAGCATACTTTGTTTTATTGTTCTATTATTTTAATTTTGTTTAAACTTCCTTTTTGTTTCTTTTTTATGGTTTTTTTATGGCTATGAGCTGCTTAAAGTAACCCCATAGCGAGATAGGCGGCAAATAAATTTAATAATAATAATAATAGTAATAATACTTGACATGGAAAGTTTTCATTAGGGGGATTGTGTCTGGCTATTTGAGGAAGTTAAAATTACATTCCTTGGGCATAGAAGCACCTCTAGTATAATTCTCTCCTTTTATACAGATTAAGATTAACACTCCTAGACATCCTATCAATGAGGGGTGATGGTCTTTATGTCACAGCTGCTTTATAATTCTATTGGTTATTTTGCAGGATGCAATTATGTTTAGAAATGAAGACCAGATTTTTATTAGTTTTGTTGATTGCTACCCAGCAGCCTGTTCAAAGAATTATGATTCATTGTAGATCAAGCCACATTCATGAGAGTCTGCTTCTGGCCTTCAAATGGGTCATAATTTTAGCACATAAGTATTTCAGTTCTCCCTCTTGTGGAAAAAAATCCTTCATTTATATTTATTCATACTAAAAGGTAAACTATTACTGTTAATTTTACATTATTATTACTGATTTTACTGATTATTACTGATCATGACTTAGGACCTGATTATGTTAGGATCAGCCTATTTTTTTCTGCCACCCGATCACCTCAATTGAATATCATCTTGTGGGACCGAGGAAGCACGCCTTCTCCATTGCAGCTCCTGCCCTCTGGAATAGTTCCCAGATGCTTATACTCCCGGGGTTCTGGAAGGCCCTTTTAAATCCTGGCTTTGTTCCCAGCCCTAGAGTTAATATGTTTGTGGGGGCTCTGTCCCATTTTATTGTTATTGTTACAGCTTTATTGTTTTTGTTCTACGCTGTCAGTTTCATTTTATTCCACTGACAGTCAACTTGAGTGGGTGGCCATAACAAATCAAAATAAATAAATCTAATATGTGTGAAACATATTCAACTTCAATCAGTTTTATTTAGAGACAGCTTTGTAGGATAAATCACTGTTCTTGCTATTTTCATATATCACAGAGAAAGAATGTTTTGATTAAAGTTACCTCAGCTGAACAGATTTTTGAAACTAGGTATTCTAGTCAAAACTGACTGTTCTTTCCACTGTATTCCCTTTACATTATATATGTATCACATTTGAACCAATTTCTGATGTCCACATAAACATGTAAGATCCTCAAGAAATCCTTAGTAAGCACAAAGGGGCTGCCTGTTTGAAATATCTTCCTATATAGACATATCTAGAAATTCAGAATCTTTCTATATGCTTAACATAGTGATAGCTGTGTATTTTGATAGAAGAAAGTTTGATTAATTCTGGTTAACATCAGTGAACCAAAATTAATTAACCATTCCTTCATTTATAATCAGAATCAAAAACCTGGTCAAAAAACCTATATTCTTGACTGGATATATAGAGCTATGCTGTGAAATACTTCTTTCTGAAAAATTATTAGTAATTAGCTAATACCTATGCTAAAACTCTTGTTATGGCCTGGGTGAAACATTAAATCACAGGGCAACAGTTTTAGAATAGAGGTATCTCAAATGGGTTAATTTACAAAAAATATATTCAAAATCCAGGAGCATGACTCTTGAGGGAATGAAATTTGGGGAAGTTATGGCTTTTTCAGTGCTACTGGATACTGCTGGGCTGCTACTACACTTATGTGATCTTCATTTTCAGCATTCTGTGATAGTTTCCTAGGCAATCTTGCAGTATCTTCTTCTCTTTTCAAAGCCAGTACAGATACTTACCTACCTACTGGTAGAGAAGGGAAGGAGGAACAAGGAAATAGAAGGAACAAGGGAAGAAGGAACTTGATGCATATTTTCTGGCAGTGGTTATCTGATTCCCTCTTTAGGTATGAAATATTTCCGAAACAATGACCTAATGGCGCATGGGCTATCTAGTCAGCTTCTCGCTCAGATGATATGGCTTCCTGAATGCTATGCTATCTTTTACTTCCATTAAAACTGCTGAGTCAGTTTCCCAATTTTGCCATCATACTTCTTTACTCAAAAATTATGAATTGGCAGGATGTGCTTAGGAAACTGTTGCAGAAGAATTCATTATTGAAGTAGATGGAACTAAAAATGGTTACGGGGGTCATAGCCTATTTAAGAGAAGATTGTTTGGGGCCGAGGTTGGTAAACTTTAGGGTTATGAACTTTCGATAACTGTTGATTGGCCTTCTCTTTATTTTCCTTACCTCTCCAGTTGTCTTTTCTCTATTCAGTTTTGTTTTCTCATCTTTCCTTTTCTACTCTTTTTCCATTTCAGTGAATATACTTCTTTGTGGGCAAATTTTTTGCACAAAGGCACATATATCACATGGACACATTTTTGGGGTGGTGGGGCAGTTTTTGTGATTTGGGGGAATCATCTACTATTCCTCTGAGAAGAAGGGTATCATCTTAAATTTAAAAATATCTTTCTTGCAGGTAAGTATATGAATGAATGTGTTTTGCAGTACTTAAACCCAACCTCCAAAGTGTCTTGGAAGTATACAATATCAAATAGAAACAAAACCAAATAGTAATAACAAATAACTAAATAAGAACAATATCAAAATCAAAAATATGACTTGTCAGTTTAGACATCAAATTATACTGTACTTTGCAAAAGTTGAAGTCATGGTTTCTGATTTTTGTTTGGCTAAACTGTTGCAAAGTATTTTATTATTTCAAATATTAAAAGATAACTGGAAGGATTACTGAATATATATAGTATAACATAGGAGTCACCAATTAGACCTAGTAAACCGTAGAATTGTAAACAAAACGTTTAAATTGCCCAAATTTCACAACTTTTTAAGGTTTCTTATTTATTTGATAATTATCCTGTTTGTCTTTTTAAAAATAGTTATTTATATCAGGAAAATATTAATAAATTAAATAGGTGTTCTTACATTTATTCATAATGGATTTCAAGGGAGGGTTCATCTCCTACCAATACTGTCATGTGATGCAGTTCTGAAATTGTGATATCTTTGGTCTGAATTACTCTCTGAATGGATTGAACTATGAAGGAGTCTTAAAATGTTTGGATTTGGTGTCAGTATTGGCTCTCTAATTCAAACCTAGTTCAGATCAAATCTAGTCTACCAATGATCAATTGACAATAGAATGCTGGGCATAAATATCTACTTTGTTTTTTGCTAGGAGCTTATGACCAACATCTGGAACCAGAGATACTTCTAAATGGAGACACATGGAGTCTTTTCGCATAAAACTATACTACCCATTAGAATATACTTGGTATCTCCAAATGAGCTATTATTTCCTTCTGCAGTTAAAACTGATCACTGTTGGAGACTAGATACTGAGTTGGGTGGATTCAGATTCTTAACCCAAACAGCTGCGCTTATGTTTACATAGCTTGCTTCTTTCAGTTCATGCTGCCTTATCTCTCTAAATAATAATGTTGCTTTATTTATGCAAGCAGACATTTGAACTGGCTCCAAAACCCCAAAAGGAAAAATATTAAAGGGGTGGGATTTGGAAGTTTTGGTGTGTATTGTAAGAGTCCCAAGGCCAAGATTATAGGCATGAAGCAGTCATTTTGTTGGATCTTTTGTCTTTGAACATAGGCCTGGTTTCTTGGAACCGTCCCTGTAAGACACCATCAATTGTGAACAAGCTTCACAGTGCCAATGGCTACCAGCCATTTGGCTCTCTTGACTGCTGAGCTGAAGGTCTAAAAAGTTTCTGATATTTAATTTTTCTCATTAGCTGCTTGTAGCTTGTAGAGCTAGATGCAGTAATTCAAAAGTGAGGTGACAAGGTAGCGAAACTCGATTAGATTTAACAAAATCATGGGTTGACCACTAGTAATACCAGGACTAGTCCTGTTTTGCCAACACTTGTATTTCCATGCACGATAGCCTGTGGAAAAAGTGCTGGAAAAAGTCTGTGGAAAAATCTCAAGGAAAAAGCCACAGAACTTCATAGGCAAAATTGAAAGAAGACACAATGATTTGGGAATCTCTGGAATGGCATAAAGTAAAAGGATGCATAGACTATTTGGGAGACAGAGACATCTATGCTAAAGAGTACGTGTTTTGCATGTAGAAAGTAGCAGCCTTAACCCAGAACACATCTCCATTTATGGTTGAGGAAGACTCCTCTTTGAAACTCATTTGGGGCACTTCTTTGTAGATGTATTCCAATAGCTTCCCATGATTAATAGCAACAGCACTTAGGCTTATATACCGCTTTACAATGCTTTACAGCCCTCTCTATGCGGTTTACAAAGTCAGCATATTGCCCTCAGTAATTTGGATGCTCAGTTTACTCACCTCGGAAGGATGGAAGGCTGAGTCAACCTTGAGCCTGGTGAGGTTTGAACTGCCAAATTGCAGGCAGCATGCAGTCAGCATAAGTAGCCTGCAGTACTGCATTCTAAACACTGCACCACCGTGGCTAATGTGATTTTTGTCATATAAAAAACTGAAATTTGTCTGGTAGAGTGAACCCCTTGGTAGAGAAAGGAATTTAAATCAGAAATAACAAGAAGCTAGTTTTCTTCTTCATAAGCTGAAAGATTTTTAATGAACTGGTGCTAATTGATGTTGCACCAAAGTCCTACTGCTAAAAACAAATGTGTAAAAAGATAGATTCAGATTTTGGCCTAAAGTAAAATGGAGAAGACACTTGGTATGTGGAAAGATATGTGTGAAAG